TCCGCTCCGCTCCGGCACGCGGGTCACGCAGGTAACCCCGGCTGCCCCGGGGTCCCTCGCGGCGCGGGGAGTGGGGGGGCGCGACCCCGTGGCCTCCCCTCGCCCACACCGGGCAKCCCCTCCGGCGGGTGCGGGGCTCTGAGGGGCGCCCTCGCCGCTCTCTCCGGGAAGGAGTGCGCAGCCCCCCGCCGCCCCTGCCCGTTCCCCCGGCGGGCTCCGGGCCGCCCCCGGGGCTGCACGCCGAAGGGGGTCCCCGTCCCCAGCTCCCGGCGGCGCCCTGGGTGCTTTGGCGGCGGTCGGGCCTTGGAGCTGTGCGCCGGGGCTTGGCCGGCTTTTTGTGTGTGTGTGTGTGTGTGTGTGTGTGAGTGTGAGTGTGTGCGCGGCTGACGGCTCCTGGAGCGTGAACTCCTGCGAGGGAGAGGTTTGGTTTCCCAGCAGCTCAGTTTTCTGGGTTACTTCCTGTCCCATTCTTTAGCACTTATCTTTACTTCCATTCCCTGGAGGAGCTGCCTTGACAGGGCAGCGGTCCTGCCGTTATTATCCCTTCAACTCCTTTTGTATCCCGAGAGAGTGTCCTCCTTTTCCAGGAGAGATCCAGATTTTGATGAAGAACCCYTTTTCTTCCAAATTTTTGAAGGCTCTTCCTATTTTGCCCAGCTATTGCTTTTGTATTAACCATTTTTGTTCATAATTTCTCTCTTTTATGTCATTGTGTGGCTCAGTTATACTTTTTTTTTCTTTTTAGGTCTAAACTGCCTTAAAGGAGAATTTAAAATAGTGACTCCAAAGAACAAAATAACACAGAAGAGAGAAAACAGCACCCAGAAAGGTGATGATTCATTTTGACTCTCAGAGTCATCCTAGACACATGGTTTGGCTGGGATTGGGGCCTCTTGTGTTTTTATGGATTTGAATAGGTAGCATTAGATTTCTTTGTTCTCTTAAAACCTACTTGCTGTTGACCTTTTAAAGTTTGAAAGCTCTGAAGCCCATTGGAAGTACAGTTCCTCTTGTAACACTTTATAATTTTCTAAAATCAATCTGCAAGTGTTATTTTGATTATGAATTGCTACTTAATGGGTTTTTTGTGTCTCCATCTCAGGAATGTCACTTAAAATTACTTCGCTACAGGTTGTTAAAAGGACCTTTTCTTAAAGTCTTTTCATAAATTTATGGGTTCAACACWGTTTCTGTTTTGATTCTAAAATCTTTATTGGACTAGGTAATGGTAATTGCATTATGTTGGTTTAGTCATACCTCACTCCTGCGTGGGTCACTTTTTTTGTGTGTGTGTTGTAATRGAGCTGCAGAAATTGAAATTAATTTAATCGGATGGTGTTTGTTTACAAGTACTTACTTTTTGAGCTGAGATCATAGAAGATGATGCTGTTGGGTGCTTAAGCGGAAAAAATGAAAGGAGTCATCAAAACCAATCCTGCTGGTAGGAGGGAGGCTCTGTTTCAGGGGGAGAGCTGTTCATAGGGAGAATTGCGTGTTTTACGTGGTGAGATGAAGAGATGGATCCTAGGAGAGAGAGTGGGGGGGTGAATGATGTCAGTCAGTCTTTTTCTGCATCCTGCTGTTAGTGTGCTCCAAATGATGGAGTTTCTGTGCGKTCTTTTAACGCAGAGTCTGTCTTGAAGCCGTTTTGATCTCTTTCAAATGTAGGTAAATTTGGTTTTTTGGCAAAGATGCCCTCCATAGAGGTCCCTCTGGTCTGTGTCGTGTTTTCAGAGATGTCACTGACTGTACCAAAACGTTGTTCATTGTTGGCAATCAGTTGTTTTTGAGCATTAGCCTGCAGGAGAAAGAGCAGTATCTGTTGCCAAGAGTCTTGGTCAAGACTGGATAATTTTTTTTCAATACCGATGCCTTTAGGTTAAGACAAAAAGTAGTTGCTCTGTGTTGAAGATTAAATAGAGCATCCCTTCCTAACACAGTACAACAAATTCTGAGATACATTTTGGAAGTACAGGAGAGAAATTTTCCATGTTATTTTGATAACCCATGAGTAATAGCAGAGCACACAGGCCCAGTGTGATTCCAGGAGGGATTTTCCTGCTAATAGGTGAGACAGATGTGCATCAGTACAAASTTATCAATGCAGTTATGACACAGCTGTTTCATCTGAATTTAGTTTATTWTAAGTCCCTTTTCCCAACCCACCAGTGCCTCTCAAGTAAGAGCTGTAGCTGCTCCTACAGGACACCTCTTGGTGCCGACAATTCATGAGATMTTTGGTATTTATTCACAACAGGCYACCTTAAGTTTTCATTTAATTTGTSAAGTTTCTTCCTAATGTGAAATGTCAGTGCAGCAAAGTTTGATTCAGAYGCAGAGACTGGAATTGAGTTCATAGGAATCAAGGAATTAATTTCTGGCAGAAATTTGCCCATGGTTGAAACAAGGCACAGAGATTAGTGACATGCCGAAGTCGTGCTCTTGATCCTTGGAAGAAAWGCAGATTGTTGCAAGTGTAGCAGCCCTTTAGAGAAAGCTTTTGTCTTCAGGCTATATGCTCATTTTGGGTTTGTTTTCCCTTMCTGTGAATTCTAAACCCTTAAAGGAAATGTGCTGTCTGAGGGATGGTTTTCTGTTGTTCCAGCAGTGCTTACAGAATGGTCTTATCACCGTGAATATCTTGCTTTGTCCGCTAAAGACATCCAACAAATTTTGTTCACTTAGATTCTTTGAAAAGGCTGGATTAAATAGAAATACATMTCAAATATATTTGTAGAGGTTGTTGAATGACAGAAACTCTTTAAGCAGCACTCAGTTTGTTCATCAGCTGTGCTGTGTTAGTGCTGAAGTGAGTGCTTCAATGTGATTTGCACTCGCCATTGGCTCCTACTCCTGTCGTTCCACATGCTGTTGGTGTTTGGGTTCTCTGCTGATAGTAAGTCATGTGAAAATACATAAATCTTAGCAATTAACACTTGCTACAAATTAATTACTCTTAAGGCTAAGCTTCCATCTGACTTTTGCTGTTTAAAACTTAGTGGCAGCACTGCTGTAAGTTGGAGGAGAATTGGTATTTTTTGCTTGGTACACGAGGATCCCTAAGCCTGCTGCAGAGCACAAACTCCCTGCCGTTTGTCAGTGCACATCTTTAGGGAGGAGGTTCTGGCTGTGTGAACCTGATGCAGCATTCTCCACTGAAAAAAAACTGTAAGGCCTTGCTTTAGCATCAGCATTGAGGTCCTGCATTCAGAAGGAACTGCAGTATTTTATTCATGGGGCTCTGCATGTGCTTAAGATTGCCAGTGTTTGGGTGGAGATGCTGAGGATGGTTAAGAGTTGCTGTGCTTTCTGAAGGTGAAGTTTCCCTCAGGTTTGTAGACCTGAAGTTGCTTGAGCTGGGTGATTTCTCTGATTCTCCATCAGGCCCAAAGTGAGACCTCACAACCTCTCTGTGAGATGGATAATTGTAGTCAAATGACACCTCTGGTGCTTCACTTTCACCCTCCTGCAGAAGGTAACAACACAACAGCTGCTTATTAGTATGTAACAGCACCTGAAGTTGGTTGGGGACTTSAAGATTTACTCTTTTGGTTATTTTAAATTTAGTACATCCAAGCTACTAGCTGGCCTTACGGGAGCTTTCAMGAGAAACACGTAACTTTTAATGACGGCTTGTGAGGAGTGAAGGCTTTCCTTTGAAGTTGCAGTTCCTATGTGATGTTTTGGATTCAAGCACTGTTAACTCATTACTTTCAGACTCAGCAACTCGCATGTGTTGCTTGGTGATTTTCATCTCTTGGTGATTTTACCTCGCTTGAGGTTTGTCTGGGCTGTAGCATGGAATATTCAACAGAAAATATATTCAGGATTATAAGGCTCTGTGAAATGTTGAGATTTCACATGTTACTTGCAAACTTCACGATTGTGATATGAAAATGCAAATAATGACACAATTGTTTGCCTTATTCTCTTGCCTGAAGAGCTCCTGGTATAGGAACCTGAGTGACAGCTG